GTGTTTAAAAATCTTTTTTAAAATTTTTTGTTATCTTTATTTTATGTGTATGAATGTATTGCCTGCATATATGCGAGTGTACCTGTATTGTGCAGTGCTGCGGAGGTCAGAAGAGGGCTTTGGATTCCCCTGGAACTGGAGTTAAGGATGGTTCGTAGCCACCATGTGGGTGCTGGGAATCGAACCTGGGTCCTCTGCAATAGCAGTCAGTGCCCTTAACCGATGAGCCATCTCTCCAGCCCATAAAATGACTATCTTTATATAAGTGTATCAAATTTATTCTAAGACATGCCTAATTTTTGGAAAAACATACAATAAAAATAATTTCTTACTTAGATATAATCCAGAGAGTTCATTTGCGGGGCTCCTTCCAAGTGACTCGGGCAGCGTGGGATCATATGAAGAAACAGAAATATGGAAGGTAGAGTGGTCTGTAGTTTTCAGAGATTATTGAAGATGTGCACAAAGCGCTATGGAACGGTTGCCAGGTGTTGGCAAGTACTCTCACATACGTGCAGGTTTCTGAAATGTAGTTTTAGTACACCTCATCAGATTTGTAGACTAGCTCTGCTGGAGCTTTGTGTTTCTCTTTCACCACCTACTTTCCCATATTAATGATTTCTAATTATCCTTCGGCACTTTAAAAAGCAGTGTAAGCACTTGTGATTTGCTGCACATTGTTCTTTAACCAGAATGTCATTCAGTGTGTCCAGTAACCAGCTGGGGGAGAGATAAGTGGGTATTTCTTCTAACTGAGGCTACCCCACCAGGAGTTAGTCTTTGTGAGTAGCTATAGAACTTTGCTTTCTTCCTGCACAGAGGCAATTCAGTGCAGTGGTGCTAGTTCATTTGTGTATCCATGCTTGTGTCAAGGCCATCCCTGTAACTTAGGGTTCAGACAGCTTCTAGAAGCAAATTGTTATGATACTATTCTTTTTGGAGACTTCTATTTTATCTTGATCCTGATAGTTCTGAAAATAAATGGTTTATTTAATTTGGTCTACATAGAGTGAGGTTGGGTTGGATTCCAAGATGGCATTCAGTATTATTCAGAAACAGAGAGGTGCAAAGTGATGACTTCCGAGGAATTACAACTGTTTGATCTAATGTATTTTGCTAGCATTTTAATTTGCACGTTGCCAGTTTATGTTTATAAATACTGTTTTCAGTATATAATAGATAAACATTGTTATCTTAAAATTCATTTGGCTCTGACCAAGGATTATTTATTTCTAAGTAGTTAACTCTTATAGGTGAATATTGGAACATCACTTTAAAAAAATACTTTATCATTTTTATTTTATGTGTATGAGTGTATTGCCTGCATGTATGTGAGTGCACCCATATTGTGCATTGCTGCAGAGGTCAGAAGAGGGCTTTGTATTCCCCTGGAAGTGGAGTTAAGGATGGTTTGTAGCCACCACGTGGGTGCTGGGAATCGAACCCAGGCCCTTTGCAAGAACAGTCAGTGCTCTTAACTGCTGAGCCATCTCTCCAGCCTGGAACATCACTTTTATATCAACATTATTTTAAGTATATAAATCACAACTGTGAAAAGCTAAGGACAGACAGTATACAGAGTTTCTTTTGACAGGTGCAGCAGTATCAAAAGAGGGCTACAGTTTCAGTTGTCAAAACATGGAAACAATGATACTGAGAGGCTGATTTTCTTTTATTAGGATTATTATGACTTCATCAGCTTCAGGAATATATGGCAACTTTGGCCAGGCAAATTATAGTGCTGCGAAGCTGGGTCTTCTGGGTCTGGCTAATACTCTGGCAGTGGAAGGCAAGAAGAGCAACATTCATTGTAACACCATTGCCCCTGTTGCCAGGTCTCGGATGACTCAGACCCTGTTGCCGGAAGGTGAGTAGCTTTGGCAATGCAGAGCATCACCAATGTGTATGGAGTAAAAGTGTTTTATTTTCTGAATACTTAAAATAATTTTTCTTTCCAGTTTCAAAAGCATTTTGTATAATTTGTCCATCATTAAAAGCTTTAAAAAGCACAGTGGAAAGGATGAAAAATGATCTGTAATTTACCTCATTGAGGTAAACTTTTATCCTTTTCTCTGCATAGATACACAAATATTCTTTTTTTGGAGATGGGATGATAGCATTCTTACTATTTTGTTATAAGTGTAATATTATATACAATTTTATATTATATACAATATATAAATAAAATAGTGAAATACCTAGCATAATAATTATAAAATGTAACATACTTTATTTTTAGAGCAGTTTTTGCTTTATAGAAAAATTGGGCAGATTATAGAGAGTTCTCCTGTGTCTCCTCTCTCACACAATTTCTTGTTAACATCTTCTGTATTGGTAATTGATGAACCAGTATTAATTCATTGTTACTAACTAAAGCTTACAGTTTGCACCAGGATTCACTTTTCGTGCTACACAGCTGTAAGCTTTTCACAATGCACACCCTTTGTAGCCACCTTTACAGAGTCGTACAGGACTCCCATGCGATTCACATATTCCTTCCTTTTTCCTTCTGGATGCCTGGGGCCTGTGGGGATAGAAAGTTGGGTGGCATTCATTAATATCCCATGGTATAATTTGTTTGTTAATTTACATATTGAGGGAGCATCTTGGTTGTTTCTAGTTTTTTTAATTGTGAATAAAGCTACTATACACATTTATATGAAAGTTTTCTTATAGACATGAATTTTCATTGTTTGAGAAAATAGTAAGAAATGTGATTACTGGATGATTTGTAAGACAAGGTTTATCTTTGTTAGAAACTTCCAAATGGTCTTCCAAAGCAGCTTTTAATCATTTTGCATTATCTCCAGTGATGAATTAGAGTTTGTGTGCTATATCCTTGCCAGCATTTGGCAAATCACTCTTGGATTTTAGCCTTTTAAATAGGTATCCAGTGCCATTTGAGATCCTCTAATGGCATCTAGTTCAGAACATTTTTTCCTATGTTTGTTTTTCATTTATTTCCTTTGGTGAGATATCTATATATGTATGTGTATATGTATGTGCATGATGTGTGTGGGGTTGTTCATGTCATGGCATGCATGTAGAGATCAGAAGACAGTTTTGTGGAGTTCATTCTCCTTCTGCCTTTACATGGGTTCTGCGGCTTGAACTCAGGTCCCCAGATAGGATCTTGCTTTGTAGCCCAGGCTGGCATCGCCCTTGCAATTTTCTTGCTTCAGCTTCCTTAATGTGGGGTTTGTATGTGTGTGTCACCATTCTCTGAGTTGGCTCCTTTTTTTTTTTTTTTTTTTTGAGTTTTAATTATTTGTATGTTTTGGGAAACAAATTTCTTATTATAAACATATATATTTTATAAACTCAAATATATCTATCTCAGATATATGTTCCATAGTATGTGGATTGCCTTCTTATTCTTTATTCTTTAGCTTTTTTTGTGGGGTTTTTGAGAAAGGGTGTCACTGTGCAGTCCTTGCTGGCCTGGAATTTACTATGTAGATTAGGTAGGCCTTCAACTCACAGACATCCAACTGCCTCTGCCTCCTGAGTGCACTACCATGCCTGGCTGTCCTTCAAGGATAATTTCATTGAGTACAGAATTTGGGTTTGCGTTTTTTTCGACTCTGAATATTTCACTACATGGTTCTATTGGTTCTATGGTTTTTGAAGCAAAGATCAACATAATCCCAGTCCTTGTGCCTCCATAGGCAGGTCGTCCCACTGTGTCCCCCTCCCCACAACGCCCCCTGTTTCTTCCATGGTTTTCTTCCTTGATTTTTCTGCCATTTACGTGTAATATAGCTAGGTAGAATCTCTTTGCATTTATACTGCTTGGTGTCCTTTGAGCTTCCTGAATCTGTGTTTTGACCTTTTGGATGGTAAATCCTGTTTGTCAACTTGATTGGATTGGGAGATGCCTAAGATTATACCTCTGGGTGTGTGTGTGATTGGGTGTTTTCCAGATGACTGGATCATGAGGGCTGTGGCCTGGGAAGTATTTTAATTTGTGAGTAGATTCAGAGTTGAATAGAATGTTGAGGTGGCAGCAGCTGTGGAAGGTGGGGCCTGGATGGCTGTGTCCCTGCCCTGTCCCTCTCCACTCACTTCCTGGTTGCTGCGAGTTGAGCTGCTCTGTTCCGTGGTCTCTTCCTGCCAGGATGGGTGGAAACCTCTGAAATCATGAACTGAAGGAAAAATTTCTCCCCAGTTATTTTTTGTCAGTGATGAAAAATGAACACATTGACTCATTAATTTTGTGTAATCCCTAGCCAACATTACTTCAAATATTTATTTTGTTTCCTTTTTCTATTTCTTCTGGAATTCTCATTGTACATGTTACATCTTTGTGTTTAAGAAAAAATTCTTTGAGAATTTCATTCAGTGTATTTTGATCATTCAGCCCCTACTCATCCCCCTAACTCCTTCCAGATCCTCTCCCAGTGTCCCCACCTCTCCCAACTTTGTGTCCTCCCCGCCCACCTTTTTTTTTAAGAGTTTACCAAGTCCAGTTTATGCTACCCATATACTCATGGGTACAAAGCCATCCATGGAGCATGGTTGACTTACTAAGTGCCATACCCTTAAAGAAAAGTGACTCTCCCTCTCCTCCAAAGGCATCAGCTGTCAGTCTGTCAGTAGCTCCTCAGCTAGCCTGGGGGCTCATGAGCTCCTACCTCCTCCATGCTGGGATGTTGACTGGCTTGATCTTGTGCAAGTCTTGTGGAGGCAACCATAGGTGCTGTGAGTTCCTGAGGACATTTGTCCTGTTTTATCCAGAACACATTGCTTTATGGCCTAAAATATGATCTTTTTTAGAGAAAGTTTCATGGGTTGCTGAGAAGAATGTATGTGCCACAGCTGTTGGATGGGATATTTTGTAAATAATTGTTTAGTTCATTTGGCCCATGGTAGATTAACCCTGAAGTCTCTATTAATATTTAATCTAGGTATATCTATCTATTGATGAGTGGGGTGTGGAAGTCACTATTACTTTATCGGTACCTGTCTGTTTTTTTTTATGTTCCTTAGTATTTGTTTTATGAAATTGGGGGCATCATTGGCCTGTACATTTATTTTTGGTCTTTTGAGACGGGTTTTCCTGTACCTGCGGCGGGCCGGAACCTCACAGAGCCCCCCCTGCCTCTGCCTCCCAAGTGCTGGGATTAAAGGCGTGGGCTACCACACCTGGCTATATATTTACAATTCTTATATATATATTTTTTCTTCTTTCAGTTTTTTTTTAATCTTTTTGAGACAGGGTCTCCCTGTAGCCCCAGCTGTCCTGGAACTCACTGTGTAGACCAGGGTGGCCTTGAACTCATAGAGATCTGCCTGCCTCTGCCTCCCAAGTGCTGGGATTAAAGGCCTGCGCCTTAAAGGCGTGTGCCACCACTGCCCAGCTCTTCTTTCTTTCAGTTTTTATACATATGTGTGTTATGTGCATTTGTGTGTATATGCATGTTTTTGCATGTGGGGGGTATGCATACACATGCATATCAAGGCCCAAGGTTGATGTTGACAATCATCCTTGATCTACCTTATTTATTGAGGCAGGATCTCAGTCAAATACAGAGCTCACTGATAAGGCTTGTCTTTTAGCCAGCTTGCTCTGGGGATCCCCTGACCCTGTCTTCAGAGGCTGGAATTTTACATTGGCTGCTATGCCCACCTGGCATTTAAATGGGTTTTTTGGAGATTCAAACTCCAGGTCCTCACATTGAGTAGCAAGTGCCATCTCTCTAGGCCCTGTGTTCTTTATGGATCATCTCTATTATTAATAAGTAGTGGTCTTCTTTACCTCCCCTGATGACTCTTGGTCTGAAGTTTTCTTTATCTGTTATAATTTCTGAACTGGGTTGCTTGTAGCTTCTGCTTGCTTGGTAAGTTGACTTTCATCTTTTCACCCTTACTCTGTGTCTTTACCAGTGAAGTGTATTTCTATTTCTTGGAAACAACAAATAAAGCATCTTGTCTTTAAACCCAATCAACTAATCTGCATCTTTTAATTGGAAAGGTAACACCATTTATATCTGGATTATTATTGAGAGAGTTCTAATTCCTTTACGCTTGTTGGGTGTTTTCCTTTTTTGTCGGATGATTGTTCTTGGCTTTCCTCTTTGACTTGATTTGCTGGTTTATGGTCCTGGACGTGATGGATCCTTTCTTAGTTCTTCTTTGTTCATCTATTCCTCCCATGCAGTGTATCTTTCCTGTGTTCTCTTGGTTGAAACTGTCTTTCTTCCTCTTCAGTGTTTCAGATCCCTTTAAGTATCTTTTGTAAAAACTGCATCTTTGATGCTTGAACAACAAACTAAAAAAGTGTTTCAGGAGGAAAATAGAACTGCCTAGGCAAAGACTGGTGACCAAAATGTACATAACATGCACAGCTATGTTTTATATAAAAATTTTCATCGTACCACAACTTTATTTTGTCATATTACAATAAAAATGCACATTTATTTAATTCTTTAGATATAATTATATCATACAGCAAATAAGATGTTGTACAATACAATTGTATCCCATTTGAACTTGGAACAGCAACTTGGTACAATAGTCAGGAGATTTATTTATTTATTTATTTATTTTTTGGTCTTTTTGAGTCAGCGTCTCCCTGCAGCCCCAGCTGGCCTGGAGCTCACTATATAGACCAGGCTGGCCTTGAACTCATAGAGATCCTCCTGCCTCTGCCTCCTGAGTGCTGGGATTAAAGGCATGTACCACCACGCCCGGCTCTAGGAGAAGAATTTTTAATTGTCAGATTATTGATGAAGACTCAAATGCAAGGGAGTTGAGTGACAGTGAGCTCAGTTTCCTAAGTCTGCTGTAGGCAAGCCAGCACTAAAGTCCAGGTCTTCACTTCCCAGGGCAGTATTTTTCTTCACTAATAGCTGCTCACAGAAGAAATGTAATGAGAAATGATTCTTACAGTTTGTTACTCACTAGTGATAGCTGTGCGTTCTGTTTCAGGCACTATTTACCATTGCAGTCATCAAGCATGCTTTGTGATTTTTCTAGATTCTTATTAAATAGTGAGTAGAATAAGGTAATTTTGTGAGAAATGCCTAAGTTTCTCAGGTTTCATACTATATTTGCCTACCAGTCCTTGCCTAGGCAACTAATATATATAAAATTATATATATATATTTATGTATATGTGTGTGTGTGTGTGCGCGCGCGCGCGCGCTTGGGAGTGCATTAGTTTTTTTATTTGGGAGGAAAAAGTTCTAAAAGCATTGAATCTTAGATTAATTGCATATAATCTTGTTGATATTTGTTTAAAAAGTCTACTTTTAGCTATGTAAAACATTTTCAGAAAGTAAAATAACTATGAGACATGTATGTGTTCTTGTTTATAAATTCTCATATTTTTTTCAGATGTTGCTGAAGCCCTGAAGCCGGATTATGTAGCACCGCTGGTCCTCTGGCTTTGCCATGACACTTGTGAGGAGAGTGGTAGCTTATTTGAGGTATTTTAAAACTTCCTCTTTTCTCCTAAGCATGATTTGTGTAATTGAATTTAAAAAGATGATTATAAATTAGTGTTTTCCAAGTGTTTGCATTTGAAAAAATACCTGCCATTCTTATCATTTGTGTATTTTAAAGTATGTGTACATGATGACAGAGGAACAAGTGTTGAGCCTGACAGGGTGGTGTATACCTGCTATTCCAGCATGCAGAGGCCACAGCAGGAGGATCTTGAGTTTGTGGCCAGCTAGGGCTACATAGCAAGACCTTGTTTTTAAAAATGATGAATAAATACATTTGCTTTAAAAGATCTAAAAGGACTTTTACCAGAGAGTGAATTTCACTGGATGGTGGCCATTTTGTGTCGCTTTTATTTATTTATTTTTTGTAGCTTTTATTTTTATAATAAACATTTAAAGCTTTGTAAATAGGGAAAAATAATCATTTATTTATGTGAGGCAAGGGCTCTAATACCAGTTCAACCCTATTTAACTTTCATTTTCAGACAGGGTCTTAACTAGTCTGGACTTTAACTAGCTATGTAGCCCCATGTAGGCCTTGAACTCACAATCATCCTGCAGCTGTGCGCCACTAGGCTCAGCTAACTTATATATTTTTTGATTACTCATTTGTGTGTGATTTCTATATTTTAGTCTAAGGTGTTATATTTGAGAACTCTCTTATTTAGTAATAATGAGCCTATTGTATGCAGGCCATGGTATTCAAAATATTTGTAGCAAAAGAACCTAGGTCAGCTTGAAGTACTATATTATTAGCTTGTTTCATTTGAATAAAAAGCTGATGAGTAAATTAAAGAAAGAAAGGTCTCCACATAGCTAAGCAGAGCCCTGTGCCTTCACTTCTGTAATCATACCGGCTGAATGTGAGTCATGGAATTAGAGGTAGAAAGAACTTTGCACTCTTAATTTTACAAAATAGGAAAATTTAATTAGACCAAGCCACCTGGAGTTTGAAATTTGGCCTGTCATCCTTTTACCTAATTAGGAAATAAAAATATTTATCTCTTATAATTACATTTATTATTAATGTGTACAAAATAATTTATCTTCTTGTAGAAATTTCAAATATATAGTAAATGAATAGGAGAAAATAAAAAGCACGTTATTACTATCTAGAGAGAACTATTGATTTTTTTAAACTGTTTCCTTCCAGTCTTTAGTTGGCTGTACATTTTATACAGGTAATCTTTTTAGATGTGTGCACATGGCCCCCCATCTCCATATTCAGTTAGGATCATGCATGTATGTAAAGTTTTATGTTATTTTCTTTTATTATACTGTGAACACTTTTTTAGTGAGGAGCATTTAATGTACACAACTGACAAAATGGAGTAGGAGATATATGTAATATCCTGACTTAAACTTTAAAAGTAAGCTTTGCAAAGTTCTGATGGATTCCTAGAGTGGTAGTGGTAGGTGAAGATTGCTTCAGCGGGAGCAGTTATTTCTAGTACCTGAGAAGAACTTGTAGCCTGTTATTTCAGTCTAAAATACTGTAAAAGGTGATATTTTTACCAGGTGGCTAGAGAGACACCTCAGTCAGGTGAGTGGTCTGAGGTTTGCTATGCCAACCCTTTAACATACTCCCAAAGAACTGAAAGGAAACCAGAGGAAAGGTTATAAAAGGTTTTAATGAGATGAAAAGGAAATGAAGCACACTTGTAAGAATAGCAAGTGAGGCAGATTGGGAAACGAGCAAAGAAAACAGCCACTATGAGGCTGGGGCAGGTTGTGGCTGGTTTTTACTGAGGTGGACAGGAAAATGTTCTACTCGGGGTGACATGAACCTTGGGCAGGAAAACTGCTTCATCCTCAACCAGCAAAGGAGGAAATAGCCGCGTTCAGATACTGTTGGCTTTGGCTCTATGGTCAGTTAAGGTGGTTCTTTGTGGCCCCCAAGTTCAGACAGTTTATTTTAGATAGGAGTAAATACCTAATTACATTTACTGTTTGCCTCATAGCTTTGGGTCAGCCATACTGCTTTGTGCTGAATTATTATTTTTTTTTTTACTTT